GTTTTATCGGTGCACTTGCACAACATTAGCATTCGTAAAAGTTCCGCATAGATTATTGCGAATGCGAAAGCGAATGCGAATGTTAAAATTAATGCGGAAGCTCCGCGGTTGCGAATGCGAATGCGAATATTCGGAACAACCCTGGTAGGTACATACTTCCAACAAGAAATGAAGCAAAGTTTTAATCACAGTATATACAGTAATAAACCTTTTTGAGTACTCCTCGGGGGTAAAATCTGATCAGCGTTGATATTTTGTTCATTCAGAGTTGTATACAAAATTACTGTGGTATAAAAGGGAGCAACAGCCGTACTATGGCAGAGTGGCACAAGTCATGACTGTGTAATAATAACCGAATTAATTGCAAAAGTGTAAAAACATTGCAAATTATTGTCTATTATTATAGATACTAGTACAGATTATCATAGTTCAGTGTATAACTTGTTATATTACACCGTACCAATGAACATAATTATCAAGAAGGGGCAACTCGTTATAATTGTAGCGAAAGTGAGTAACAGGGGCGTGCCTTCTCTTTCGCTCTAGTAAGTTTTTTAATTGGATGGAAAGAGGAGGTACGCCCCTGTTACTCACTTTCGCTACAATTATAACGAGTTGTCCCGTCTTGATAATGATCTGTTAAATGCTGAAAACGCTTATAACTTGTAGATCACTCAAACTTGGGTGTGCTTAAGGAACTGTCTGGGCGGATGCGCTGGCAGGCATTGGAGTCTGTATAACTATACAAACCTTGTTTTTTTTTTAATAAAGACTTAAATATATTCGGAAATTTAGAATTTTGCTTGACAAATTCACAAAATTTACGTTTTCGTATAAATATAATCTTATAATGGACTTTTTTTTAAACTTACATTTAAGAAATTCATTCAGTGCTATAATTACGATTTGAGTTTTCCAGTTTATAAAACACAAGCGTTCATTATGTACTTAACTATTGATATTATTCTCCATTAAGCATGAATATCAGCACATCTTAAAGATGAATATTATAGTTAACCTACATTTTGTTCATAAATAATACATAATTATGTGTATTTTATCCTCGAAAGGAAGGCTGCATTTCTTTATTCATTCTGAACGTTTGGAATAAACTTTTTTGTTTACTTATTCTTTAGAACGTTCCTGATGATATGTCAATGTATATTTCAAACGCATTCTGTTTATTCCGGCTGTGAAATGGGATTATCCGGAATGTATAAAGAAACGCAGCCAAAGATTTCTAATCATGAGGCGAAATTCCCCACAGTAAGTGTTGCCGTGCGCGCCTCGGGGGCCAAATGGTGAAAAACTGCGAAATGTTTATTACTGTCACAGTCAGTGTTGCCAGAACTTTTTGGTCGAACCGGCTAAATTGGCAAATAAAACCAGCTAAAAACGGCTAAAATATTTCAACTAAATTTCACATGTTTTATTTAAATAAATCACGAGTAAAAAGACTATTTCTTGGAGAGAAGTTACAAATTCGAGCCGGAATAAATTTTGCCAGCAAGAATTTGCAATTAGGAAAAACATATGATTAATTTAATATAATTAATTTAGTTAATTCCAATGATTTGAAAGGTATCCGGCAAAAAGAACTGTATTCTTAATCGGAATGCAATCTCAACCAGAGTCGATATAGTAAACCCGACAAAGAAATTGAATCGTATATTGAAGAAAGTCGGACTGACAAGATATATACACGTTGATCCTGTTTTTTGCCAGTCTGAAAGAATTTTAAAAATTCTATACAAATTTCTTTTGTTTGAAATGCAACCGTGGACACTAGCTGGCAGAAAAACTTTCAAATTTGCGTTCGTACCGAAAATTGCAAGTTTCTCTACATGAGAGATTTTGGGAGTATTTTTTCTTACTATCTGATATTTTGAGTGATAATTCCCGCTGGATTTTCGACGAACAAACCTATTGTCTTCCCTACAAGGCCTTTTCAGACTGACCGATTCTCAATACACTCAAATAGAAACATACACATAAAAAACGCTGTAAAAATGTCCCTTCAATTGTAAGGCAGTAAAACAACGACCTTAAGTTAACATCAACCGAGGCCATATGTTGACAGGGGATGCAAAATCACAGTTACACAAAAGAACTGGTCAGATTTTTCAGAAAACCCTTCAATTCTGATGTAAAATATGATGCCAAAACACTGCACATCTCCCATTTGGATGACCGGTCATATGACCGGCAGATGTCTGGTAGGATTCCCAGAGAGTTTTGCTTCACATAAAAATTTGGGCTCTTTTATTTTCATTTTGACTCACTTCAGTGTAGGTTCCTTTAATTCAAGTTGGCATTCGGTTTTTGGAATTTAAATAAGTTCTCAGCAAAAAAGTTTGTTTAAAAAATACATATGTGTACATAGTGCTTGAAAATTTCAATTTTTCCCTTACCTTATACCTTTGGGAGTGGGCAAAAATGATGGTTTGTAATTTAGGCAGAATTGAATATGCGCTATCTGGGAAGACAATATCTACATGTAATATTTATTCTGTTTGTTGGCATTATATCCAAACACAAACGCATCTTAAGTGTGTTAACAGTGAAACAATTTCTTATTTTCTAAGTTTCCGAATAAAACTTCACACTTAAAATTAAGACATTTTATGAAGAAAATCCCTTCTTCTTTAAAATAAAAATAAGCGAAATTGGCCCAACTTCATACAACCCTGGATTTCTTCTTTCTTTTTTTGGCGCTGTAACCGACTAAGCGATTTTGGCCGAGTTCAGCAAAGCACGCCAGTCGTTTCTCCTCTGTGCCAACTGACGCCAATTGGAAACGCCAAGTGAAGCCAAGTCCTTCTCCACCTGATCTTTCCATCGCAGTGGGGGCCTCCCTCTTCCTCTGCTACCCTCTGCTACCACCAGCGGGTTCCGAGTTGAATACTTTCAGAGCTGGAGCGTCGGTGTCCATTCGAACGACATGACCAAGCCAGCGGAGCCGCTGTATTTTAATTCGCTGCACTATGTCCATATCGT